CATGTAGAACAACATCCTCTGTCTATACGTAACGCCTTATTTGCGTACGTATGTGTGTATGAATGAATGAATGTATATATATATATATATATATATATATAATGTCGGGATCCTTTCGGGCCCTCTTGGGACATTCTTGGATGCGATTCCCCAAAATGGTGCCGCTCCGACTGGCGCCGCCAGTCTACAGAGGTCTGGGTACGCAGCAAGCAACAAACACATAACATTGTAAATATCAATCGCAAACAACATCGGGTATGACATTATTGTGGAGGTCCCCCCGCCAAGACCTACCTTGGAGCGCGAGTCTTCTAACGAAGATGACACCGTTGATTGTGGATACGGCGCTAGAGTATTGCAACAATGCGAGATCCCGTTCGCGCTGCCGGCGATTACGCTGCGAGAAATCTCACCCCTGCCAGGAATTGAGTCAGAGGGTGGACCGCATCTTGATTGCTTCATCTACTTACATCCCGCTTCTTGGTGACTGATCGTAATGGAAGATTTTCTGGGCCTCTTGGGCGGTTTCAGACGGTCGGAAAGCCGAAGAGCCGATTTTTCAAATCATCATACAGGGAGCACTTTATGACATCGTTTCGAGTGCCTCTTCGGGCTGCTGCTGTGACCGTCATCGGGCATCTGGTGGGAGTCTGCGACGGCTTGGGGCTGTCGCGGGACCGAGTGGCCACCCTTCCGATCGCTGTGAGTAGGCCTGGCTGGTGTGTCCAGGAGGCCTGAAAGGTTTTGTGAACTCCCTGCAAGGGCGTCCGAAGGGTCTCAGGGCCATGGATTTGGGAGGTTTGTATTTGTTTTTGTAGGTTTCGAATGAGTCATACATATATGTACACGTATACTTGCCAAATATAAAGTTTTGAATCATCGGCGCAGAATTGACCAGCAGGTCCCGCGCGCCGCCGACGACCGATCATAAAGATGATCATGATCGTTTCATGTGCCCCATACGGAGCGATTGCAAAGTCATTGCGTCCACGTCGGAGTGATTTTCGGGCTTATTCTTTTTGGGACGGAGGTATTATCACACCGTGTTACATATGCTATTGTTACGGGGTACGCGCCAATCGGATTCGGACCGCTGCCCGACTGGAAACCGTTCGCTAAGATTCTACGGGGGTGTGTGGGGGGCGTCGAACGCCTGACGTCTTATGGTCAAAACTGTAGTACACCCCGTATATGTGCATGATTAGTTATATGTACATATACATGTATTTGTATTTGTATAGATATATGTACATGTTTATGCATATGTATATGTAGATGTATGTTTTTATGAATATGTATATGTATACGTATATGTATATGTACATGTATATGTATACGTATATGTATATGTATATGTATATGTATATGTATTTGTATATGTTTTTGTATGTATGTATGTATGTGTGTATATGTATGTGTAAATGTATACGCATATGTATATGCACATGTATGTGCACATGTATGTGTAACTTTGTACGTATATGTATGTATACACATATATACACATATACATGTGCTCGGGTACGTATATGTACATGCGTATGCATCTGTATATGCAAATGTAAAGGTGTATGCATAGGTGTATGTATAACTATTTGATGCTAATATTGTTTCTGCATATGATTTACACGTGATTTTGCATGCATATACAGGTGTGCTCATGCAGATGTATATGTCTAAGTCTATGCATATGTATATGTATTTGCGTATGCCGATGTTCACACACATGTACACCCATATGCGTATGCATGTATACAGACATGTACATACGCACACATATATATAGACATATATATATATATACACATGTACGCATACACATAGGTTTATGCACAATCATACTTGTAGTTACACGATGTTGATGTATACATCTATTCTTAGTCATGCATATATGTATGTTGATATGCATGGTTATGCATATGTATGTTTATGTGTATATGTCTATGTATATGTACATGTTTATGTGTATGATTATGTCAACTTATATGAATATGCATCGCCATGCGTATCTGCATGTATTAGTGACTATGATTATGCATGTGCGTCTAATATCTACAGACATACCTACATGCATACATGCATACACACGCATCTATGTACACACATCTATACACATATGATTGTTGTTGTCCCTATCGGTGCATAACGTGTGCATATACGCAGGCTGTGCGATATTAGTTGAAATGCATGGGACATGCTGGCCATGTTGAGTCCATGTGTGATTCGTTCTGTGGCTCAATCGCGGCGCCGAAACAATGCCCTGGGGCGCATCCGCCTCATTTGTGGCAAGTGGGTCCACGAAGAAACAAATGGATACGACGCACAAACCTTCGGAGCTCCGCGCGGATTTCTCGGACCGATGCTGGGCTCCAAGTGGCGACGCTTCCGGCGCCGCCAATGTCGCGTTTTGCGCTCCAGGGGCCCAGCGCCGATCCAAGAAATTCGTGCGGAACTCCGAAAGTTTCTGTTTATGTTTTTTGTTTGGTCTTCTGTTGTAGTAGCAGAGGGCCAGCCCAAGGTTGATCGTGACGGGAGACGGAAGGCGCGCGCCTCACGTGTGAGTGACATTTGTGAACCCTTGGCGCCGCGAGTTCCATGTGGCCGCTTGAGGCAATGCCAGCAGGACGGGAAGGAGGTCGAACGAAATTGACCAGGGCCAGCGAGCGACGGAGGGCGGCGCGGCTCTGGACCCTTCTGGGACGCGGTCGGCAGCGCCGAACACGTAGCTTAGATGAGGAGCGCCGGCTCCACGAAGAACCGAGAGACGACAAGGAATTCCGAACGGCAGCAACCTTCGCCACGACCTCGCCCCCGAGCACCGCGATGTCGTCACGAAAGCGATGAGAAGGAGGAGGAGGAGGAGGAGAAGGAGGATGAGGAGGAGGAGACGGAGGAGGAGGAGGAGGAGGAGGAGGAAGAGGGGAGGGGGAGGAGGAGGAGGAGGAGAAGGAGGAGGAGGAGGGGAAGAGGAGGAGAAAGAGAAGGGAGGAGGAGGAGGAGGAGGAGGAGGAGGAGGGGAGGAGAGGTGAAGGAGGAGGAGGGGGAGGAGGAGGAGGAGGAGGAGGAGGAGGAGGGTGGGGGTAATTCTCAAATGCGATGAAGAGGAGGGCGGGGGGTCGATGGCATGGGCAAGCGATGGCGAGGAGGGTGCGATGATGGCGAAACTATTTTCGAGTATCTCAACCATGCATGAACCCTTTCGCTTTGAAGCCACTTGCAACTTTCTGCATTTCTTCTTTGCCCCGCTCTGCGCGGGCATTGCGAGTCCGCCAGCTCGCCGCCGGGTTCGCCTGTGCCTTCGGGAGCGAAACTTCGAATATCGGACGCGGATCATGGACGGGTATGTTCTCCGGGATCGCGGATTTGGAGAGCATGTCGTCGGCGTCACATTAACCAGGGTCGACGAGCACCCTTTTGGGCACGGTCTGCCTCTGGCAATCCTCGGGCTGGCTACGCGCTTGGCAGGGATGGGAGGTCAATCTTGATTCTCGTGGAGCCGCGCTCCCTCGGCACCAGCGAAATGCGCAACGAAGTGGTGACAGGTGCGCGCTTAAAGGCGCTCAAGGGGCGGACCATGGCAGACCGCCTTCCGCTGGACCATCCCGGGGGCGCAGCACGAGGCTGCAGGTGCACGCCTGGCAGCGCTGGGGGGGAGCGTTCAGTTTGGATCTGCGTAGGGCGGCGCTCCGTTGGACTCCCTTCCGAAGGGTGCGGGAAGGTAGTCACAGGCTGGCCGGCAGCGTCCACGGAGGCGCGGTCTCCCCTGGGTCTGCGTGGGACCTCGCGCCGCTGGCTCTGCGCGCGGCGTGGGGGACCTCGCGACGGGCGCGGGCGCGGCAGTTCCCGGGAAGAGCGACGAGGAGGAGGAGGAGGAGGAGGAGGATGAGGATGAGGAGGAGGAGGAGGAGGAGGAGGAGGAGGAGGTCGCCTTTGTTTCCGCATAGGACCGCAGTGCGTCGGGCCTCCTCCCCGAGAGTCACGGCAGGACAGCGACGCGGCATCACCCAGGAACGGCGAGGGAGACATGTCGAGCTGCGCGTGGCGACGCCCAGGTGGACCCCCCAAGGACGCAGCACATTAGGGGCCGTTGCGCGCTTGGCAGCGCACACTTCGGCGGCGCGCCGATGGGAGGGGGGAGGGGGGGGGCCTTCTCAGAAGGCTCAGAAGGCCTCTGGCCGGTGAGAAGTTTTCCAAGCCCTCTCCGAAGCCACAGGGGGCTTCTCGGAAGGCTCGGGGGCTTAGCTTCTGAGAAGCCCCGCCGCCATCTGAAAGGGCTTGCCCCTCCCGCTTCCCCCTCGGCGCGCCCCCGAACTGCTTATTTGGGTGCACGGGTCGTTCCATCATAGCGCGTAGGACGCCGCCTCGCTGGCCCCTCCAGGGGCGCCGCACACTGGAGGCTGGTGCGGGCTCGGCAGGCCAGGCCCACGGGTCCTGCAGGACATCGGCGACAGGTGCACGGACGGCGCCGTCCGTCGGTCAGCTTCGATGGCGACGAGGGGGCAGGCCGACCAAGAGCGGGAGGGCGGCAATTACTCGGAAGATTGGTGTGCATTTGTTGGTGCCGACTTGCTTCTGAGCGCGCAGGGGATGGTGACATTGGGCTATCTACGTGTCCTCATCCCCTTGGTGTACGTGTATGGTTGAACGCACGTTTTTTATGATTCTTTCTTTATGTCTGTCCGTCTCCCTATTGCTCTGTCTCTCTTTCTCCCTCACCTTCTCTCCAGTCTATAGTTTTTTTAGTCTCTCTCTCTCTAGATATATTTCTCTTTTTCTCGCCGTCTCTCTTTCCCTCTCTCTCTCTCTTTCTTCCTCTCTCTCTCTCTCTTTCTTCCTCTCTCTCTCTCTCTTTCTCTCCTTCCCTCTCTCATTCTCGCTCCTTATCGCAGTCAGTCAGTCGGTTGGTAGTAAGGCTGCAGCAGGCCGGCAGTCCAGTCAGCCTGGGCCGAGCCAGCTTTGTCTTCGCCATGCCAATTCGGTAGCCTAGTCTTGCTCAGTCGAGCGCCTTACCGCTATCCACCCATGACTGCATTCATGCGTAGCCATTCTGGCCCTACCATTCTTCATCATCGTGCCGTAGGAGCGGCCGATGCGACCTCGCTGCGGTTCGGGCCTCGACGAGGATCTGACCTTGCAGGAGGTGCTCTCTGGCTGCTGCGCGGCGCTGTCGGGCCCATCGAGCCCGGTCGACTTCCCGGGGCCAGCCAGGCGCGCGAGGCTTCTGAACGCCTCTGGCCGTCCGGAGGCATGGGACAGTCTGGAGCCGAGCGGCCAGGGCTCTCCCACGCTGGAGTTGCCCAGACTGTCGCAAGCACGCGCTGCGTCGCCGCAAGGCGGCGGGCCGCCCCAGAGGCTCAACTGGAGCGCGCCGAGCCCGTCGAGCTCAGCGCCCTCGGCCACCTCCAGGGTCGCCCCGTCATTGTGGTGGCCATCGGCGAGTGGCGTTGTGGCAGATCAGGATTTGACCTCGTGGCCGCCTGCGAGCGGTGCCGACCAGGAGTCGATCTTGGAGATGATCCGCGCTGAGGCCAGCATCTCCTCGCTGAAGGCACAGTTGGAACGGCAGGAGGCGCAGGCGCAGTGCCAGCATGCGGCGCTGAGGCTGGCCCCTGGCGCAGGGCGCTTCGAGCCTACTGTCCCGCTGGGGGCCCCTGGCCCCGCGCAGGAGCATCGCCTCGGGGACGCAGCGGCCACGATCGCCGCGCTGCGCGGGCAGCTGGAGGTGCAGGGAGTCCATGCCGAGCCTTCTGTTGCCGAGCTGAGAGAGCAGCTGTTGCACGGGCAGGCGCAGCACCAGCGCTCCATCACCGTGGAGGACCATCGGGCGCTCGTGGGCCGGCTCCTCGGCTGCCACTCGGCGGAGGTGGAGCTGCTGGGCCGCAGGCTTGCAGAGGCCTACACCGCCGTCGGCACTTTGGAGCTGCGGCTGGAGCAGCAGGAGGCGGAGTCCGCGGAGCTGCGCGGCAGCCTCGGGCGGCAGGAGGCACGCGCGGCGGCGGCGGCGGCCGCGCCACGCCACGGCGCGGAGAGGCAGCCCTGGGAGCAGCGTGGTCTGTATTCGGCCGAGCTGGCCGAGCTGGAGCTGCGGCTGGCGGGGGCGGCGGCCGCCAGCGGGCGGCAAGCGCCGGTCCGCTCCCCGCTGGCGCGGTCCCCGAGGCACAGCTCCCCGCGCACCTCGCTGGCGCGCTCCCCGAGATACAGGGTCCCGCGCGGATCCATCGCCGTCGACGTGCGGGAGCATCCGGCCGCCGTGCCGCCTTGCTTGGCCGCGAGCTGGCTCGGCTCCAGCCCGCCCTGGTCTACGGCGGAGCTGCCGCTGAGCGGCGCGCGCGCGGTCGGCTGGGGGCCCGATGCCTCGACGCAGGGGCTGCTCCACGATTCCTTCGGCGGCTAGCCAGGGCAGATTCCAGCACCATGCGCGAGCGAGCGCGACCGGACGGCTCTGGTCCACGAGGTCCCGAAGTGCGAGGAGGGCGACGTCAGCCTAACCGCGGGAGTCGGCCCGAGTCGGACGCGGGGAGCGGGCGGGTCCAGGCGGTGTCTGCAGTGGTCTGCAGGGGGCGCATGCTCTGGGGCGGCGGCGTGCTCGTCTGTCGGCATGCGGCTCGGGGGCGGCTCGAAGGGGGGACTCAGGGGCAGGGTGATGGGCTCAGGGAGGGATGCATCGACCCCCCCATCCGCCCATTCGTCGCCGGTAGGGGCCCGATGGCCAACGCCGCCGCCCAGGGACGTGCGGTTTCGTTATATGGGGCCTATCGCCGAGCCACTGGCGATTTATCGCTGCTTCCAGGTCGATGCTCCCCACCCTGAACCAGTCCTCAGTATCGTTTGACCTATCTTCATCCCCACCGGGCCATGGCGTCTCAGCCCCACGATGCCACCCCCCCTAAGTTGGGGATGGGCCCCTCGAGACCAGAACGGAACGGTCTAATCTCCCCATTTGCGGGGCGAATCTCAGGAGGGGAAACAACGCACAGACACAATCAATAGTCGACTCCCAGGAAAATATGGAAAAATATGGGAAGTGGGGGGGAAGACAAACAAGAAAATATGGGGGAATATGGGAAATCTGGTTATTTGTGTGTATTTATGTGTGTGTGTGTGTCCCAGTTCCCCTTCAAAATCGGCCAGCGGGGCCGAGGCCATGTCAGTGGGGATGAGGATCGTCTCAACGAATGTTCAACCTCCTATCGCTGCCCCTCAGGGACGGGGCGAGGAGGAAGAGGAGGAGGAGTAGGTGGAGGAGGTGGAGGAGGGGGAGGGGGAGGGGGATGATGATGATGATGATGATGATGATGATGATGATGATGATGATGATGAT